TTTGTGAGGTTGAAATTATCAATTTGTTTTCATTTTAAGAATATTTACTGCATATGGGAAATGAGTTTATATATCAATTTATTGCTGTTTTGGGGGTAAATTTTACTGCTTCATTTATTGTAATTGGTTAAAATAAATTTATGATTCAAGAAAAAAGTTTTCTGTTTTTTGTTTTGTTTTTCTTTTTTGTAGATGATTGATGAACGTGCCTGTGAAGACGAGATCAAAAGAAAAAACATTTGTAAAGAATGGTTAGTTTTTGTTCTAACTTATTAGTATAATTTTTTAAATTCATATTAGCTTATTCGTCTATGAAGAATCCGTGAGGAAAAACGTCGTGTATGATTTCTGATGATGTTAGTAATTTAGCTATCAAACGAATGATGTATTTAGTTTGGAGACGTGGCCAAAGCAATTCGAGTGCTTTAATGATTTTGTGCTCCTCATTGCTAGGTAAGAGTTCATAAGGTGTTTTTTGGATGTGGTTAAAAAGTTTATAGTTATATCTGGTGTTATGGATGAATTCTAGGATAGTAATATCAACGGGCTGTAGGTCTTTTAGTTATAGTTAGAGATATGCTTGAAGGTGATTGTTTGTCGGCTAAAGAAGTCGTGTCAAAAATAAGGGGATGATTCGGAAAGGTTCTTATTGGCTGAAATTGAACTAGTTTTTTGAAGTGCTTTCCAGCATGAGTTTTGAGAAAAAGTACGGGTGTTTATAAGACCTTCCAGGAGGTGAAAATGTTAATCAATTTTAAAGTGGTTTCTGTAATTCAACTTTCTTTAATATTTTAGACTGTGGAATGAATGTTTTATAGTTTTTACGTGGTTGATTTCTGAGTCGTGATGACTCTCTATGTTCTGATTTGTCGATTTGTTCTTGGGGTATTATTTTTTCTGTCAATTTTCTATTTTTTCTTTCTTTTTGAGGTATATTTTGATCTAGCTTTTTTGTATTGTTTTTCGTTATAGTTGATTTTTTATTTTGGTTTTCGAGATGAATGTCATGTTGTTCCTTTGTTTTATTCTCCATATGTGGGGTATTTTGAATAACTTTTAAACCTGTGAAAGAATATAATTGAGTTAGTTCGCGTAGTGCGTATTCTTTTGGGTAATAAGGTAATAGGTTGTTTCGGTGTTGAACAATTTCTTTTTTGTTTGAGTCGGTAATTTTATATGTGACATCAGTGGGTTTGGCAATTATTTGGTATGGTCCTTTTCGAAGGGGTTGTAATTTTTTAGAGATTCCTTTTTGAGTGTTAAAATTGGGTATTAAAACAAATGTTCCAATTTTTAAATCGGAGGCTGGTGTAAAGCGTGAATTTATTTGTTCATTAATGTTTTGTCTTTGTAACAACTTTTTTGTTACTTTTTGGTAAGTTTCATTGTGTTTTTTATCTCTGTTTAAAATCCATTCGGTGTGTGTACGGGAGGCTAATTTAAGAATTTGTGGGTGATGAAAATGATCTTCATCGTGTGTATGTAAAGGTAAGTTATAACAAATTGATTCTTTATTCGGTTGACAATAACCTTGTGTATTTTTTGAAGAGTTTGCTGTGAACATTATCGGTTTCCAGGTTTTTGATTGAAAACCATGTCATAGGGTGACAGTCCTAAAGTTGTTGTGATTTGTGATTTATAAGATAAGGGGAATAGTTTTACATCTTTTGACCATTCAGTATATCGTTTGTCATTTCCTTTAATGATACATCTGAGATATTTTTGTAATGAACGGTTCATGCCTTCGACTAATCCAGTAGTCCAAGGTGTATGAGATGTACGTGGTTTAATATTTTATAAGTGGCATAGTGTGATAATTTCGTTGTTTATAAATTCAGTGCCATTGTCTGTAACAAGGATTTCGGGTAATCCGAATTTTGCTATCCAGTGTTCATAAAGTGTTGTAAATGCATAATAAGCATTACAATGGGGCACTGGGTTAAGTACTACGTATTGTGTAAATGCGTCGACTATGACCATTAAATATGAGTTTCCTTCTGAGGATGGTGATATTGGTCCTTGTTTATCAAATGAAATTCTGTGATTGAACTATAGACTTTGTCCTTTAAAATCTTGTTTTTCTTCAATTTGTTTTTGTTTTGGGTATGGTTTGTTTAACTGACATGTTATACAATCATTGCATAACATTAAATAGGTGTTCATACACTCGGTGGAGTCTGCAGTGCGTGTTTATTGGGGCGCAAAGTACTGCTACGGTCAAACTCTGGTAGTATGCAATTTTTTCACTTTGAACTTTCTTTGTTTTTCATTATATTGAAATCTTGAAAAGTTTCTCCCTAGCGCAATTAAAAATGAATTCATCTATATTTTTGTCCTAGTCATAGCCAATAGTCACTTCTAGTGCCCAACGTTCTTCAAATTTTGAATTTTGTCCCTAGTTTTGAAAAACTAGAAAAATAGCCCAAATTCCTTGTTTTTCGGTGGATTTCAGATGTTTGGGTTGGGACGCGAATTTTTCTCATGTTGATGTTCTGGGGCTGCTTTTATTAACTAATCTGGGTTTTATAGGCTAGATCTTGCGTCTCGCAAAATAAGTTTACACGATTGTCCCAAAAAGTTGAAAAATTTGTCTACAAATTCCATTAAAAATTGTTCCATTTTTTGGCGGTTTTTCGAGGGTTTTTCGTGCAATTTGTGTCCTAAACTTTTTTTTGTGCTCAGATGGTGTCTAAAATTTACGGACAGCCATTGTCGGGGTGTCTGTAAGTTAACTTGTGTCACTTTTTAAATTAAGCTTTTTGGTACTTGCGTTTCTTCGTTTTGAAAATCGTTTCCTAATAATTTGTTTTTGTTTGTTAATAATTTTCTTTCTCAGTGTTTGTTTTTTGTTTTTATGTATAGCATTGTTTGTCTGTGTGGTGTGATTATGAGGACGTATTTTTCGTCGTTAATTATACAGTTGTGTAATATAATTGTTTGTTTGTTTCCCAAATTGTCTCTTGACATAAGGTTTAGGATGTTGGATGCAATTTTGGGGTTAGTGATTTCTAGTGTCTTAAACTGTTAGTTCTTACAATTTTTGAGGTTAGCTTAACTTGGGTCGTATTTGTCGGGTTGGAGAGAAAAGCATATATCGATTCGTGAGAATGATGTTTACTTTCTGGTGAATAATTCTAAGTTAAGACTTACCTAATCTTACTTAGGGGTAGTGATTTGTGATCAAGGGTTGGAGAATAGTAAATCGATCCACAAGGTTCAGGTATAACAAGAACGCAAGTAGTTTGTTAGATACTGTTTTATGATTGACTACGTTTAAGTGTTTTAGCCTGGGAAATTTAAGAGGAAGGGGATCAAGTGAAGGATGAGTAACCGAAGTTCTTCACTGTTTATCCTAATTAGAATGGTTAGCTATTTGAAAATTTTTTGTTTATTCTGGTACTTTAATAAGAGTTGGGTAGTGAATCGACGTTTGAGGTCGTTAGACACTTATTAATATGGGAGGGGGAGAACAAAACTGTTCTATTTGATCCAAGGATAAGCCTTGATGATCAGAAATTTAGATTTAGTTTAAATTAATTTAAAGGTCCAAGGGAAGCTTTTGATGATCAGATTTTTAGATTTAGTTTAAATTAATATAAAGATCCAAGGGAAGCCTTGATGATCAGAAATTTAGATTCAATTTAAATTAATTTAAAGATCCAAGGGAAACCTTGATGATCTATTATTCTAAAGGAAATTAATTTAAGTGAAAACAAGGATAAGCCTCGATAGTTTTTCGATAAAAGGTTAAGTTAAAAAGGTTAAGATTTTAGTTTTGATGTTTCTTAGTTTTTGAGATTTGCTGTTATGATTTAGGTGATGAAACTGGGATGAACGAATTATCTATATAGTCTAACAATTTATGCTTTATACTAACTAGTTTTTGTAATTTATATTCAATAAATATTTTTTTCAAGATTTTTTTTTAATTTACTGCAGATTTTTCAAGGAGAACGACTAGTGTTGTTTTTATCAGTCGTTATTGTATAATTATTAGGTTTAGCGTCATGAAAGGTTATTGAAGATGTTTCTTCAAAATTTTATGTCAGTAAATGAAAATTTAAATTTACTGCTGGAAGTATTCTAAATATAAAAGTTTGATCTCGTTTTTGTCGTACAATCATGAAATTAATTGGTAGATTTCTTCCTAGTCGTACGTCGTCTCTTTTCCGAGGTCTTCTTCCAATATGGGTGGTTCTCGTATTGATCGGAAAATTGGCTCTGATCTATTGAGTCGTAGAGACATTTCTACTAAATTTTGTCATATAACATTTTTTTAAAATGTTGTATATGTCTAATTCTAATCTATTTTTTCTAAATCTAGACTAGTTAAGGTCTGTTCGAGACTTTTGGTCGCACTAGATGAGTTATGATCTATTGATTAAACTCATAGAGTAATTTCAGATAAGGTACACCGTCTGCTCGTCACGCTATCTTATTTTCGGCCGGATAGATTCGTGCAACTTTTTAGTCTAATACCAATCTTAATCTTACTCTTATATCTCCTAGTCTCAATAGATCTAGTGTACACCGGTTTATGCGAGTTAGTTCCAGAATGAGAACAACTGTATTGTAAGTGTAATTCAAATTGCTCTGGTGCTGAAACTACAAGTAGTTTCAGCACTTACAAATAAGGGGGTTGTTAGTTTGATGGAGTATGATTGGTTAGTATTCAATATTTTATAGAGATAAAATATCAGAATAATATCCAATAATAAAATCTAGTTTAGATCTGGTTCCAGTATCTAAGTTTAAAGCTTTAACATGTTTTTCAATTATTAAAAAATATCCGCGAGAAGTTAATGGGCAGTCGGAAGATACTTGTGTTGAATTGATGCAAGCAGGCATTCTAGCTTTGTTTCACATTTAGAGCTAAAAAAAGAGATGAACTATATCATAAACTTGAGCTAAATGGAGTGCGGATTCTGATTTAGAGAACAATCGCAAGTCTAAAGTCTAATTCAATTTGGTGTATTATTTGATTAAAGTGCTGTTTGCCTCTGCTCTTTACCTTTAGCTATCAAATAAACCTTTACATTGACTGATTAGACCGAAGATTTGATCGACAGTTATAATTCAAAAGATTCGATATATTATTGACATTCATATGAGTATATTGAGGTGATTTTGCTCTTAGTTGCATCATATCAAGCCCATTCTTTATATCTGTTGGTTAAACTGACCAACAAATCTAATTAGTAACCTAACTTTCACTCATTTTGAGGACGAAATTATGTTCAAATCTAGGTATAAATATGATAATTGGGTCCCTTGAATATAAACGAAAGCTTGATGAGTCCAGGAACGAATATAGGTTTTTCACGAGGGGGAGCGGGAGGGTGAATCGACCTTTTTTAGATCCTATTTTGACGCGTTTCCCTTCACAATTAGAGTATTTTGGCACCAAAGTCTCCTTTCAGAAAAGTTTTAAGGTTCGTCAGTTGAAATATGAGTGTCGTACAATAGTATCAAAGGGGGGCCCTTTGGGTGCTGAGAGAGTTATTTCCCACCCTCCTTAAGCCCGCTACTGGGAAAACTTGTGCGCATCAAACTAATGATATACGGGTTTTTCATTGCTCAATTGCCTTTTTGAAGCTTTTTCGTGAACATATCACGGACTATCTCATTTCATAGCTGCTTTTTATAAAGGACCCAGCTATTATACTGGTACTCAAACCCAGCGCGACAAAAGATGAACCAGCCTTTATTCGTGTTACAACCTGCGATACCATGGGAATATCTCGGAGCAAAGTTGTTCACAGAGACACTTATCCTCAGATAAAGAAATCTGGACTGAGCATTCCAAACGTGACATGCATCTTGTCTTCTGAAAGCATTCCGGCCGATTACCCAAAAATCAGCGACGCAGGGTATCCAGATGTCTTCATAATTCCAGAAGCCGACACCTGGCATTTATGTCCTTGGTCGGGCTCGAAATCGGGTCGTAAAATAGCCCAGGTATTCGGAGAAATGCACCAAAAAGACAAAAATTCTACACCGTGCGGGTTCGACCCGCGGGTTGTCTGTAAAAAGCTCCTCGGATCTCTGGAAAAAGAATTCGGTTTGAGTCTGTACTCAGCACTCGAGTACGAGTTTGCTATGGCCAAGGATGGCAAGCCTGTTACTTCAAAGATGCATATATACTCACCCGTAGGTCTGAAAGCAACTGAGGATTTTTGCTTCGAAGTTTCGGACCGGCTTGAAAAAGCGGGGGTTCTTCTTGAAACTATAATGCATGAACACGGACAGGGACAACTTGAACTAACTATGAAGCCTTATTGGGGAATCAAAGCGGCCGATCATGCTTTGATGTACAAACAATGTGTGAAAGAGACTGCCATTGACCTTGGATTCCGGGCGACGTTCATGTGTAACCCATGGCTCGCGGTCCAAAGTGGGGGTCACTATAATTTCTCCCTCTGGAACAAATCTGGAACCAACGTCTTCACCGATGACTCAGACTCTGATGGCTTATCTGACCTGGCTAAAAACTGGATTGCGGGTGTGTTGGAACATGCGCCAGCTATAACTGCTTTAGTATGTCACACTAATAACTGTTACAACAGGTTCTATGAGGGAGGTTTTGCGCCGTACCATATTTGCTATGCTGAAGAGAACAGATCCTCATTGGTAAGAGTGAAAAGATCTGAGTCTTCGGGAACATACTTGGAATACAGGGGAGGGGGAGCTGCTGCCAATCCATATCTTGTCTTGTCGGCTATTTTGGCTGCAGGGATTGATGGTTTGCGCAAGAAGCTAACGGTTAGTTCAATTCAAATCGCGAACTATCTCATGCAAATTTGGAAACTTAAAGTTGATACAATACAACTAATTGCAGCGCATTTTTCATGATATTTTCAAAAATGATTACTTAGCCTCAAAGATTTTAGAAAGAATCTAGAAATTTGATTAAATTTGAACTTTTGTAGCCTCCCCCTCCTGGTTTTAATGAAGAAAAAGAGATCCCGCGAAATCTGGATACATCACTGAATGCTCTTGAACAAGACCAAGTCATGTGCGAAATGATTGGCGAAGATCTGATCACGCCTTTTCTGTTGCTGAAGCGCCAACACGATCTGAACAAAACGACACTGGAGGCGCAAATCGAAAGCTATGCAGACCTCATTTGAAGTTGAGATGATAAACAAAAAAAGAAAACTAAAAATCAAAACGAAAGGAATATTAAAAACTTTATTTAACTAAATAATAAACGTAAATGCTTAGTTTTTTTCCCTCGCGCTCGGGAACAGACTTCTGAGACATACTTGTCCTCGTTTAGAACCTTAACCCAATCGGCTGCAGAATGCTTTTTAGAAATTGTCTGCGCATAATTGAAAAAGTTTACTGACCTTCAGGGACGGATTTAGGGGGCGGGGGGGGGGGGGGGTTAGCTTCCCTTTCTCAGGGATTCGACCCCCTTTGTACTATTTTGAGATATCCATTTTTGGTGAGAGACCTCAAAATTTTTCTGAAGACGCCTTTGGCGCCAATATTTACTTATTTTGAGGAGGGAGCGCGCGCCGAAAAAACGCGATTTTGTTGGTCAACATTTTTCAAAAAGTGGCTAAAACACCTTTGGCCTGTTTTTTCAAAATTTTGCATGCGGCGCAGAAAATTTATCCAAAACAGAATCTTTTTACTGCTCTGGGAGAGCTCGAAAAATCAATATGGTCCATCTAAAAAATAGGTCGACAAAGTTTTCGAGTATTTTTTGAAAGTCCGCTCCCCCCCCCTCGAGAAAATCCTAGAGCCGCCCCTGTTAACCTTAATTGTACTAAATGGGAAGTTACTGATTTTTGACGTGACCGGTTTTTTGATAGATTTGTTAACATTTTTTTTAGTTTTAGCATTTTTCATAGTGGAATAGCATTATTCATATTGATTTAATCATGTGCTTCATGTCTATTTTAAATGAAAAACAGTTACAAAGATTGGACGTCTCTTAGAAAGAACGGTTGCTTTTTTTCGATCAAAAATTCCATATTTTTTTTTTGACATTAACAGTTTCAATCAAAAAACATTTTTAAAAATTGTTCTTGAAGCATATGATCATTTCACAAAACAGAAGTACAGCAACAGTGGGATTGTTTGCTGAAAAGTCACTTAATTAATCATTATTACAAAAAATAGAACCTGAAAAAAATCATTTTAGTGCAAATTTTGTTTCAGAAAGATGTAGCGTTTAAAACAAACTAAACTAAAATAAGAAAAGTATGGAGAAAAAAAACTAAAAATGCATCACGTGAGCAATTGTCAGTCAATTCATACTAGTTTCAAAACATTTCGTTCTGGTCAAAGCCAAAAAAAATAGTTTCTAATGAGACCTTGATAAGTTTTTCTTTATACGTATCACTATTTTCAAATCATAAAAAATTGTTCGATGAACACAAACTTAAGGCTGTTTTGAAAAACTGTTCGATCAAATTATAAGAAAATTTGATCATCCACAACCGAAAATAAATATTGTTTTCAAACAGAGAAACAAGAACCCACCGTTGTTCAAACTGTTACAAAAGTTATTAAAAACTACCTGACGTGAAAGGAAGAAAATTGTTTTTGCAGCTTTTAACTTAGAGTATTAAGAGACAATCGCAACTTAGATGATCTGTTACTTGAAACCAGAATTAAGCCAAATATAGACGTTACCCGTCATTGACGTTTCACGTTACAATTCTACGATTAAATTTTTCATTACCCCTTTCTTCATGCTGCAGCTTATAAATTGTTTTTTTTTATGTAATCATTTTTTGCGATCGTTCTTACGACTGACGATTGTCTCGTTTTGACAAACCGAGCAGATTCAAAAAGAACCAGTGGACCAATATATTCTATCAATATTTTTTCTTGTCAAAGAAAATCTTATCTTACAATTTTATTTGGATGGGTTCTTTAATCGTATCTACTCTTCGGTGCCTTTAATAAATAAAACAAGAAGCAAAAAAGACCTATTCTAATTTTTTGATGGGATCAAATTGTAGACAAGAGGCCTCTTTCTTATAAAGATTTCTTGAACCAATCGCTGGTGCCGTGAAGGTTACCTCAATACATTGACCTTCAAGACCGAACACAGAAATTACATCAAAATTATAGGATGTATAACTTAAAGTGAAATATTTATTTTATAAAAATATCTAGGGCTATAAAACCGAGAGGATAAAAATCCCCGGTAGTTCTCCATTTTTTAATGAGTTCAAGTTTTATCTTGAAATTGTTTACTATCGGGTTGCACTCCCCATTTCCCTCGCACCTCTCCGCTCTTTGAGTTTCACTGTCTTCCGGTTTTCTGTCTTCCTTGTATTTTTTTGTTTGTTTTCATCCTCTGTCTTTTTCCTCTTTCTGATCCCCTCTTGTTGCATCTGTTTTAAGAGTTTCTCAACTTGCCTTGTTCTTGGTTTTTCTGACTATTTGATGTCCCTGGAGTCTGCTTTCCCTGGCTGCCCATGACACGCTCTTTGTTAAAAATTCGGTAACCTCCTTCGTTTCTCTCTTAGTGATTTTGTTTTAACCAAAATTTAGGTTTTCCAGGAACTTCAGATAGGTTTTGGTTCGTGTCGCGTCTTCTCCTTCAAGTTGTGTATTCATTCCCCCATTAACTCCATTATTGATTGGGGTTCCTGTGTTCATTCAGAGGGTAATGAATCTCGTGTTTTCCCAGGTATTATTTTTCACATTGGTTGTTCTTTCTCCGCTGACAAAAACATGATGATGTCTGATTCCGACAATGATGTCTACGAAAATTTGAAGCTTATGTTTTTTCGTCAGAGTGCTCCGCGAGTCCATTTGCCGTTTTATCTAGACTTTTTTTGTTTTGCGACCTTGCTGCTTACTGTTGTTTTCTTGCTGGATCCTTGTACCGGTTAGTTTGCGTTTGACGATGGGTTCTGTTGTTTTGTTGTTTCCTCCGCTTTGTCCTTTCGTGCCGAGGCACTGCTGGATCTTTGAGTCTTTGAGTACGTTGATTTTCTTTTGCCGCTTTTGGTTTTGCCTTGACGTATTGCCCCTCTCTTTGTTTCACGAACTTTGCATGCACTGGAGCATCTGGTTTTTCTAATTTTATAAACCAATAGTTGTTATTGTGTCGAGCTGACTTGTATGCCACACGATTGCTTAATTGGGTAGGTCTACTGTTCCCGTACGTTTTTTGGATGTGGAACAAATGCAAAGCCGCTATTTCTTAGTAGTCTTAGTTCTTTCCTAATTTTTGTACCCATACCGTGTGTGGAGCGTAAATAAGGATTTTCCTGTCCTGAGTTTTTTGTTTTTCCTGGAAAAATTGGGTTCCTTTACTTTTTGCGCTATCTTTTGTGTTTTTCTACTATTCATGTATCTTTGTTGAATTCGCGTACTTTTGCGGAATCCGCGTTAATTTTGGGGACTCCGCTTACACTTGCTGATTCCGGAACAACTAGCTACCCTCGCTCGTTGCGGAATCCGCGAAAAAATTAATGTGCCGACAAACTTTACGTTACAGGATTTTGTAGGCGGAATTCACGGAAATATTTTAAGTGGAATCCACCTATATTTCGGAACATGTTAAAGACCTGTCTCTGAAAAAGAGGAACATACAGACAACAAATTGTGCGGCTATCCAATGCACATTTTGGCCTCGTAATATTTTGAATTAAGTACTTTTCATTTTCCTTTTTCAATCTTCTGGGAGGGGGCTAGAACCAAAAAAAAAACGCAAAGCAAAGTATTTTTGAACAAACCATTGCTTGAACAGTGTTTGAACCAAACGCGAACCAAACCATGGCTATGTTTTTCACCCGCAATGCTTGAAATTTTTCCCTTTTGCTATGCTGAGTCCCGTTTTTTCATTCTAGACAGAAATTTTATCTAACCCACAAAAGTCAAGTTTAAATGCAAGTTGCAGTTTTATTACTTTAACAAATCAGAAGTGATAGTCTGGGCTGCGGTTGATATGATCTGAGAACATACCGCTTCTATCACACGGCACATGTACCTATGACTACATCACGTGATTTATAGGTTATCTATGTACTTCGTAATACAATAATACATGTAGAAACATCCCGAGGTATCTTTTCCAGACAGAAGAGCATGTATAAATTTATCTTTACCTAGAAATAAACAGCACGTGATTTGCTACACCCATATTTGCGCCGCTCTTTGTATGCGCCGGTCTGAGACTAGTAATTCTACAGCGTAGACTAGACAGCAGACTGTTTTTTATTACTTTTAAGTTCCTGCTTCTATACTCTCATTTTTATGCTGAGATACTATGGGCTAAGGACAACAAGCTGACGAGACTTCAAACCGAAGGAATTTATTCAGGTCAGTATTTATAAACCTTTCTAGCTAAAGCTTAAATGTTGCTAAAATGACAATAATTTAGTTTTTTATGACAAAATTTTGGTGCATTTGTGATTGTGATAGAGGGGTCGCGTTAAAAATCGAATATGGCAGATGTTTCCCAAATCACGCTAAATCTGAGCAAATCTCCCGGTTGACCGCCATAAGTTAATGCCCCGGGTTGACAAAAAATGCTTGTCATACTATTTCATATTATGAAAAAAATGCTTGTCATACTATTTCATAGACCAAAAAAATACTACGAAAATAGCATGATAAGCATTTTTTCCATACTATTAAATATTATGACAGGCATTGTTTCCACACTATGAAATTGTATGATAAGCATTTTTTCCATAAATCAAAATACCAAAAAAAATTGTTTTGAAACTTTGTTTTTCACCCGAAACACTAACCCTGGACTGTTTGTCATAAGAAAACCCAGAGTGTTTCTGGCAGTTACCACGAAGATAAACTGCATTTGGTGAATTATGCCACCTACGTTAATGTTTACATTTTCACATGTAACTTTCACAACGTAACTTTTTGTATATGGCTAGATAATGTTTGGTTTGAAAATTTTGGTTGTTCAGAAAAAAAAGGCCTGTTTTTATAACAAATTTATTTTTATCTTAGGAAATGAAATAGAAAAATATTAATCGTGTTTACAAAAACAAACACTTTTTTGTGATTTTTAGATTTTTTGGGTGAAAAACTCATCCTGGACTACGTTATAAATATTTTTTTAAACTCATGTAAACTCATCCAGAAACATCGTTAAATTAATTTTGAAGATTTTATTTTTTCTAGAGCAAAATGCTTATCATACAAATTTCATATATCAAAATTTTATGACGA